TCAGCCTTAAGCGAGCGGTCTGGCCGTTGGAATGGCCGAGTTTGGTGTGGGCTTTGCGTCCTCGCATCGATCGTGGTTGTAGGGATATCGTTATGAACAACAATCACCACATGGGGAGGCGGCTGTCTCCGAAGGCGAACCTCAGTTACGAGCCACCACCCCTACTTGCCTCCTCTTTGTTCCCTGGCTTTCTGTCTCTTGCGCGCCTGCTGTCCAAGCCGTGCCCCCCGCGTCTCGCCTCCTCGCACCCACCCCGGCGGGGGGGCGCCTTCGTGCCTTTCGTCCCCTGCAGTGCGTGCGCGCTCCTCCCCGTACGTCACCGGCCCCCCGTCCTCTGTGTGCTGTTGGCTCGCCCCCTCTATCTGACCCATTGAATCGCTACGTTCATTCTCAAATCGCCCCCGCTTCCTCTGCGGCTGGGACGCCTCGTGCTCTGGCTGTTCCTCGTCTACGTCCATCACTGTGAATTCGTCGTCTGTCTGGCTGCCTTCGTTTGGATGGCCCGTTTCGGGTGGTTGCTCGCTCGGCCCTGGCTCTGTTGTGCGGTCGGGCATCTCTTCGTCCTCGCTCCTCTCTCCATCTTCGTCGCCGTCGTTGGCGTCTTCGGGGTGTCTGTGTCCGTCCCCGCCGCTGCCTCCTTGTAGGAGTTCGAAACGGAGTCGGTCCAGGAAGCGTCGTGCGGCTCTTCGGTTCCGTTGGCCCTTCCTGGGCGCCCGTTGGCTGCCTTGGCTGCTCTGGCTCCCCTCGCTCTCTTTCCCCTGACTCTGTTGGCTGTACTGACTCTGGCTCCCCCCGCCCTCCGCCTCTTCCTCCGTTGCTACGTTGGGGAGCTCGAAGAACTCATCGTCGATAAAGGCCATCTCGTCGTCCGCCGAGGCGTTCTCGTCTCTCTCGTCGTCTCCCTCGTCGTCGTACGTCTCACTCACTGGCGGCTCGCTCTCCCTCGGGTCCGTCGTCCCGTCTTCGGGCGTTGGGCCGTGGACTGCCTTGTCGTGCTCTGCCGTGTTCCACGGCTCGACCCCGGCTCCCTGCGCCTCGCGCACCGCATCGAGGGTCCGCTTTGTAGAGATTTCACGTTGTAGAGCGCCTCTACATCGCTCTACAACGGAGGCGCTTCGTCCCGCGGCGGATGTAGAGCTCTACAGCTCTACAGCGCTCTCCAGCGCTCTACATCTCTACAGCTCTACAGCGCTCTATACACTCTACATCCCTCTATACACCCTCCCTCAGTTCATGGCCCTCCAAATTCGGGTCGGAGCGCAGCGGAGTGGGCCCCGAGTTTGAAAAGGGCGACGGACTCTTGCGTCCTAGCCTCCAACAACGCCTCCCCGGCGCAGAGGGGGCCCCGGAGGGATGCTCAACCACGCAGAAAGAAAGAAAGAAAGAAAACGGACAACCAAAGGGATGGGAGGACCACGCAACGCCCGCACGTGTGAAGGAGCACTTGGAGCACTTGGAGCACTTGGAGTGCGGTCATCAACCTCACGCCCAGGACCGGGGAGCTGAGATTGGGGGGTTGCCTTCTTATTTCACGCTGACGTGTGCGAGCGAGGTTTCCACCTCTCTGCCGCTCACCTCAAAGCACCAAGCGCCAAGCGCCCGCACGTGAATGAGAGTACTCGCGCCGCTCCTGCTCGCGCTCGCCGCTCCGAGCAGGGCTGCCAATCCCAAGAACTCTGGGTGCGTGGTCCAGGCGACGTGGCCCGATGGACGAGTCGAAGACAGGCGCGTGCCTGGCTCCACATATGAGCGGCTGCCTAGGCGTTGTGCCAGCTCACACCCACCCTCCTCGCCCCGGCCCAGGGAGTGCATCGTTGAGGGCGAGGGGCGCAGCGGGCGGAGGTCGTCGGGCCGCGAGGCGATTGGCGCATCGTTTGGGTGGCTCAAAGATACGCGGTGGAACTGGAACAGATGGCGCGACGTCATCTTCCGCGCCGACGGCTCCTTCCTGGCTCCAGCGGAGGGCTGTGAGGCGGAAGGCAATCCAGCGTGCCGGTGGTATACCTCGGAGGACGACGTCATTGTCAAGTGAGACTCGCCACTCTTGAAGCGCCAGCCGCATGCACCACTGACTCAAGCGGTGGCCGCCCCGCTGCACGCAGGTTTGGCGGCGCGGGCCAACACAAGCTCAGCGTGGACTCGGACCGGCGCACGATGTCGGGCTTCCGAGAGTCTGACGGCGACGCGGTCACCGCAGAGCGAGTGAAGTGAGGACTGTGCAAGGGGAGGAGGCGCATTCCGCTCGGCCGCGTGCCGGCGGTCAGAGGCCAGAGGCCACCCATGCCTGCTGCTCGGAGAGGAATGTTTCATCCCACGCCACTGGCTCTAGGTTGAGTGGCGGGACGCGAGTGCGGGCCGGGGACACAGATGTTTCGAGAGCGCTCGGGCCGCTCTGCAACACGCGTTTGTGCGGAGATCGGACGGCCAGGTCGGGTTCGCGAGTACTTTTTCAAGTAGTGACACCGGACGTGCGTCCCCAATATTATCACACAGTGTATCTAAATGAACAACACTATTTCTCCGGGTCGCGAGCGCTCAGACCTCGCAGTGCCGATGGCGCTAACCGCTGTGTGCGGTCCCTGCTCCGTAGCGTCGCTCTCTCTCACGGACACGACGGTCTCGAACTCGTCAAGCTGCTGGCCGCGGTACTCGATCGGGGGCAGCTCCATCGCCAGCGAGACGTGGCGGTCGAACATACCGAGCACGAGCTCTCGCCTCTCCGACGTGCCGCAACCCTCCCCGCCGTCTGCCACCAGCGCCCCGCCATCCGCCCCGCAGCGAGTCCACAGCGTCCGGCGGACAGCGCCGCCATCGGCAAAGACGCGGCGTGGTTCGGCCCGCCGCGGCACCTCCTCGCGGATCGGCGCCTCGCAGGGAGGGACGATGTGCGGAACGAGCACCTCGGGCAGCGGCGGCATCTCCAGCGGCCGCTCGCGCCAGTAGTTGAAGAGCAGCGTGTGGCGGAGGGATGACCGGAGGTGGCAGCGCCCGGAGGCCGCCACCCCTTGCGGTGCAGCCGTCGGCGCGCCTCCCAGGCCGCACACGCCGTGCAGGAGGCTGCCCTCAAAGACCGCCATCGCGCCGGCGTGCGGCCAGACGAGGCTCGCGCGGACCATGCGCCCAAGCGCCTCCGGCGGCCTTTGGTCGAGGACGAGCGTGGGGCCGCCGTGGTCGTCCAGGTACAGCACGACGCTCAGCAGCGGGCTGCGAAGCTCACCGTGCCGCTGCGCATGCTCCTCGTCGCAGTCCCAGTGCAGCTGCATGCTAGAGCCCGTCGGACGTCTCTGCGTCCAGAACTCAAGCCCAGAGCAGCGTCCTGCGGCGGCCGCCACCGCCGCCGGAAGTGCTGCATCGACGTGGGCGACCGTCGCGCGAAGCAGCGCGCCAGGCACCTCTCCACGAGGGAGCCAGTGCGACTCCCGCCACCAGTGCGCCCGGGCGTCGGGCGAGTCGCTCCCTTGCAGCTCGGTCAGCCAGGCTCGCAGCAGCTGGCACGGCAGCGCAGTGGAGGCGACGGCAGCCAGCGGCTGGCCGGAAGCATCGGTGACCATATTAGCTTTGTAGATGGCAGACGGGGTTCGGCCTCCAACCAGTTAGGGAAGCCCGAAGACGGGGAGGACGCGGCCCTGAGTAGGGTAGTGCCGTACGCTCGTGCTGCAAAAACCTGGCCGGCCCCTGCCCTGCCCCTACCTACCTACCAACCTACCTACCCTACTTATGGGAAACTAAAAAAGAAATCACCTGGGTGAAGGTGGGGTACTATACCAACTAGAGTGATGGTTGGTGGTACTCTCCTGCAACCACAGTCCTTCTTGTGACATGGCAGGCCACTCTCAAGCCCTACAAGCATCAGATCACCCATTTGGGGAGGGTTGACATCGTGATTTCCGCGGAAAATTTCTTTTTCTGCTGTGAAAATTCCAGCGTGGAAGAGGGAAAAACCACGGGAGGGCCCAGACCTACCCTTCCTACCCCGGCATCAGGTCCGAAAAGTAAAAAGAATCCACCCGAGCGTGCCGTCATCTCCTGTCGTCCGTAACCCTGCCATCATACACACACTCACGCCGCGATCGCGAGAATGATTGGATGGGCAACTCGCACTCCTGTCGTCGTCAGAGCCTACTTCCGCCAAGGCGTTCCTCCCAACTCGATGAAGATGGTGCGCCGCGCCTTGAACAGCCCCGTCTCTTTCTCCGTCCTCGATGGTGTCATCTCCGTGTGCGTGACGCTCTGGATCGGAGCAGCGCTCCTGGTATGAGCCACCAATTTAATTCACCAACACAGCCAATCCACTCCGCGGCACTAACTTCAACCGTGCCTCCGTAGCGCGGCGTCCCGCAGGCTTTGCTCAGCGCGGGTCTGGGCGCTTCCGGCGCCTTCTACCTGATGCTCTCAACTTCAATGGCGCTCGGCACCGTGCAGGCAGCGCCGGCCAAAGCGAGCATGAGCAAGAGTACCGCGACTTCGGAAGAAGAAGATGAAGCGATCTTCCTGTGGGGAGGACCTTCGCGGTACACGTACACGGGCTAGAGCCCGCAGCGTGCGAGACCAAACAAGGTGGACGGGAGGCGATCGACCCACGTCGACGGCACGGCATGTGTCTCCCCCCCCCCCCCTCTCTCTGGCCTGTGGGCGACAGAAATCTCTCCGCGCTGTGGCGAGATGAGAGCCGCTCTCTGTTGGTTTCCGCCCCGTGGACTGACACTAGTTTTGTGTGCAGTGTGGGGGCGGGCGGCACGATCATTGGTGTTCCACATACATGCGATGTACATCAGTCGTTAAGCTCGCCGACTGTCACACACATTTCATATCACATGTGCATAACATGGAACAATAAAAGAATAATCAATATTGCAAGTATACACATGACAATAATCACTATCACACATTACTAGAGGCGTAGAGCACGGCCCCACGAAGCTCAATCAGCGTACACTCTCGGCGACATTTGGCCCCCGCTGGCGAGCGGCAACCGGATACGTCCTGCCGCGCGCAAGTTCTCACGGCTCAGGCGACAGGCTGTGAGCAGGTAGCGTCACGCCCTTGGGCGCCATGCCCATGCCGTGCTCGGCATCTAGCCTGCCGCTCGTTCGGTTCTGGTAGGAGCGGTAGCAGAAGAAGGCGGTGAGACCGCCGAGGACAAGCGCGCACAGGAGGCCCACGACGACGACAATAAGCATGCGGCCGTCGACGAGGCCAAACGGGTATTCACTGTGGTAGGGCGACGCGCCGTCCGCCGTCACGATGAAGACGTGCGTGTCGCTCGACCCCGAGGCGAGGGTGATGCCTCGCTGGCCGAGCCCCGACCAGGTGGCTCCGTCCCAGCCGTCGCCGTACGAGTCGCGCATAGTGAGGACGCAGCGAGAGCCCGGCGTCGCGGTGAACGCGTGCGAGTATCCGGGAAAGTCGTCGGAGTAGGGGCCGCCAGTGAGCGGCGCCTCCACGCCATCGCACTCGAGCGCCCAGCTAACCTCCTCGGGGTATCGCCCCGACTCCACAATCACCCCCGAGAAGGCGGCTGGCGCAGCGGAGGACATCAGCGGCGTCGGTGGCGAGGCGGCGGCGGCTGCGGACGCCTCCGTCGACGCCTGCAGCCGAGGAGCGTAGAGCCGGCCGCTGGTGACGAGCGACTCGGAGTACACCGACGGTGCGATCGAGGCCGGCTGCCAGTGCCCTGAATGGTCGACGAGATCTGCGTGGTGCACGTAGGTGATCGCCTCTCCCCCAGCAGAGTTGGGCAGCTCCGCAACGACCGTGCACCCCCCCCGCGTCCAGTCCGTCCGGTAGTCTGTCGCCCCGCGCACCAGCACACCAATCATCGTCCCGTCCTCGGCAAAGACGCCGCTCCCCGAGTTACCACCAAACGAGTCTGTCGACCCCGTGAACCACTCGTACCCGTTGCCTGCCCCGGTGTTGGTGACTCTGCCGCCGGCGTCCACCTTGGCGGGAAGCCCCGACGGGAAGCCAATCATCAGGAGCTTCTGACCCATGGTGGTCGGGACGGCCGTGTCGTGGCGGTTTGTGGCAGGGGTGCGGTCCTTGACCGGACGGTCCAGCTTGACGTACGCAATGTCGGTCCCGCCCGTGTCAAAGTCTGTCCAGTACCCCGCGCAGTAGTAGACATCGTCCTCGGTGATCTCGGGGAAGGTCGGATTCCCATCCGAATCGTGGCCGGTGACGTGGTAGTTGAAGACGTACGCGACATCGGCGCAGCTCGCCGGCCCGCTCTCCTTCACGATGCAGTGCCCCGCCGTGATCATCCGGTCCGGACCGACGAGAGTGGCAGAGCAGTGGCCGAGCGAGGGCTGCTTGAGGTACCGCTCCCCGTCGCACATGTTGTACTGCGCCCCGTGGCGCTCGTCGATTGGCCACGCACTCAACTTGTAGATTCCGCCGTCCTCTATCTTTTCGAGATCATCACGCGTCGTCTGCACCGCAATCACATTCTCCAGCAGGTTGAGCGCGAGCGCGTCGTCGCCGCCGTCGAGCTGCCACCAGTCGCGCCGGTCGTCTAGGCCGTGGACCACTTTGCCGGTCTCGACCAGGTCGATGCTGCTCGCGGACGGCTGCAGCGTCGACGGGTTGGGTGAGAGCGCGAGCACCGAGGCAGCAGCGGCAAACGCAAAGAGCGGCATGGGGCTGGCTGGCACCTGTGGCAGGCCGCGGGAGAGAGACCGGTGAGGAGTGAGCCGCGGGTACGAGAGGCAAGGGAGCGTGTGCGGGAGCGACGGCGGTGCTGCTGGGTGGCTGGGCGCAACGCACGAGATCGGTTGGGTCGACAGCGCCTAGGGAGCAAGGTGGGGGGGCTGGGCGTTTGCGACTTCTATCCCGCTGGGATTGATTCCGTTTTCTGACCGACTGAGCTAAGGAGTTATGTGAAGGCGAGCACTACGTCTGCAACAGCAGGCAGCAGCAACAAAGGTATCAGGACAGACGCGAGAGCAGGCTATAGAGTTGACCGGAGCTAAGCAAGAAATCACGGCGGGGGTGCCCGCGGCCGGAGCTATAAGAAACCAGGCATGCACCGTGGGGTGGGGGTTTCCTTTTTTGCGTAATTTCGTTTCAGAACAGCCCAGCCGCCGACTCATACTCAGTCACTGAAACTCAAGAGAGAGTAATGGAGCACCAAACACGCTTCTGGTTTTCCCTGGACTTTTCAAACTAGATGAAATGCTGGGGCACCTTCTAGATACCACTGCGAGAGAGAGAGATTTTTAGCAATACCAAACAACTCTAACACTCACACGTCATTTGGGGCCTGGAGCCCTGTTCACGCGCGCGCGAGACGTGCAGACAGGGTTCATGCCAGGTGGCTGAGGGAGGGTGTAGAGGATGTAGAGTGTAGAGCGCTGTAGAGCTGTAGAGCTGTAGAGCGCTGTAGCGCTGTAGAGCTCTACATCCGCCGCGGGACGAACTGCGTGCGTTGTAGAGCGATGTAGAGGCGCTCTACAACGTGAAATCTCTACAACAAACTCTACATCAAAAGCGGCGAACGAGGCACGGTCGCTCTCCGACATGAGGCGCGTTGCACTTGCCAGTGCTGCCCTGGCCTTCTGTCTGCCCGCCCAATGGGTGGCAGGTGCCTCTGCTGCTGTGGCATGCCTCACGGCTGCGACTGGCCGGCGCCTTGGCACGTCAGCTCGGCTCGGCGTAGCGATAGTGGCCAGCGCAACTCACTTGGACTCAACGCTCAGCCAGGAGCTCCCGCACGCGCTGGCGCGAGGCATGGCGCATGCAACGCGCAGCAATGCTCGCCTCGCCTCGCGCAAATGCGACCGTCCTCGCCGCCGACAGTCCACCGCCTGCTAAAGAAGCACAGCGACGAATGCGGCACCGGCGACGCACGGCAGGCTGGTCATGACGCAGTTATAGGGTGTTGTGTGCCGTCAGAGTGACTCTCTGTGTGTCAGGGATAATCAGGGCCGTCCATCAGAGCTCCAGTAAGCTCGGAGACACCCCATTAGCGCGGCTCGACCTCTTTGAGTCACTGCCTTCCCGCGGTTTTGCTGTAGAGCCTCTACAACAAACTCTACAGCAAAATCGCGCTCTACATCGCTCTACAACGCACGCAGTTCGTCCCGCGCCCGATGTAGAGCTCTACAGCTCTACAGCGCTCCAGAGCGCTCTACAGCTCTACAGCTCTACAGCGCTCTACACTCTACATCCTCTACACCCTCCCTCAGGCCAGGTGAGAGCGAATGTGGCGCGGTTCACGCCTCGCACAACAGAGAGAGAGATGCGCTCTGCATGGTGGGACATAAAAGAGAGAGCGAGTACTTGGCCAGTAGGCCGTGCGTTGTTACCACTGCCAATGCGAAAAAAAGAAACGGAAATACGTCCTCAAGACACGGCTATCACCTCCTACCCAGCAGCTTTCCGGGAGCCTCCGTCTCGCCAATCGCCTCATGCCCATGTTCGCCTCGGCTCTCCTCCTCTCTGGCAACTCTGCGGCTGCCGCGCCTTCCAACGCCCGCGGTCGGCAAAAAGAAAAATAAGGGCGTGACTCCATCTCCTCCTCCGGCCTCAAGGAGCGCTTGAAGCAGCTTTTCGGGAGCGGTCCCGCCGCCTCATCAACATGCTCGCATCCGCCCTCCTCCTGTCTGCGCCCGCTGCGGCAGCCGCGCCCTCGAACGCCCGCGTGTGGGCCACCGATGCGCTCATGGGCGCCGTCGAAGCCGGCCTGAAGCCCGTCATCGCCGACGTGGTCTGCGGGATCCCAATGGATAAGCTGCTCGGCCACGAGTCTATCGAGGAGGGCCCGGTCGCTATCGACGTCAAGTCCTTCGCCCTGTCGCGCTGCTCGGTCGGCGGCATCTCCGTGCGCAACCAGCCCGACGGCCTGCTCGTCAAGGTGTCGGGCATCTCGGCGCACGCAGAGGGCAGCTCCCTCGCCAAGCAGGCCGGCTGCACCTTCATGTGCTACGACCCGATGGACGCCTCCTTCTCCGCCGAGCTGTACGACTCTGAGATCACGATGCTCATCTCGCTCGGCGCGGCTCGCGGCGTGCCCGATTTGGCGGCACGCTACGTCAACACAAACTTCCAGATGCGCAACATCCAGCTGCACGAATTTAAGGGCGTCTCCCTCTTTGCAAACATGATCACCGGCGTCATCGGCAAGGTGACCAACCGGATCGCCAAGAAGAAGGTTGGCAAGGTCATCGGCACGCTTGGCGACGTCCTTCACCACCTGCCGCTGCACCACCTGCCGCTCGGCGAGCCGCTCGCAACGGTCCTTCCCCGCGCCGGCCACCTCATGCTCGACGCCGACGTCACCTCCATCGGATACAAGAAGCCCGCGTGGGTCATCGACATCCTTACCGTCCTCTCCTCGCCGCCGGCGGTGGGCGCGCGCTCCTATCCGTACGCGCCGACTGCTCTCCCGAGCGCCCCGCCGGTGGAGCACCGCTCGCAGCAGCTCATCGCCACCGTGACGCCGTGGACCATCAACGAGGCGCTCTTCGCGCTCGAGAAATCCGGACTCCTGACCCTACCCGTCACCTCCGAGGCGCACGGCCAGTCCGTGCCGCTCACCTTCTCCACCTCGCCCTCGCTGAGCGTGGTGGGCGACCGTGCCGAGCTCACCCTCGCCAACGTGGTCGCCGGCCCAGCCTCGCGAACCAACTCGACCCTCACCATCGGCGGCACGTCCCCCACCCTGCTCATCGACGGCCACGTCGCCAAGGCGCGGTGGGGTGGGCACGCCGACGCCTCCCTCCGCGTCTCCGGCTGCGGCGAACGCCAGCTCTCCTTCCGCGCCGCGCCCGCCGCCGGCTCAGCCGTCGCGGCCGCCGGCAAGGGTGAGGTGGCCCTCGAGATCAAGTCGGTGCAGGATGCGCCGTGGTGGGAGGTGCAGTGCGACTCGGCGGGCGCGAACCTCGTGCTCGACGCGCTCGGCGTCGAGAACGTGCACAAGTCGGTTGCCTGCGCGGCGACGGCCCTCGAGGCCTTCGACACGTCGGGCAGCGTCCCCGCGTCCGAGACGCTCTCCTGCCTGCTCGACGCGTGGGCAAACAAGCTGGACCTTATCTGGGGCATCGTCAACAAGCTCGACGCCCTGCGCCCGCCCGGCTTCCCAGACGTGCTCTCCTTCCTCTGGGACGGCCTCGTCGCTCTCGACCTCGAGCTAATCTCCCGCGAGGGAGTCGGCGACGCCGCCGCCGTCACCGCCTGCGTGCAGGACCGCTCCCCGACCGCCCGGCTGTCGGGCATCTACCGCTGCCTCCTCGACGCGACCGCGCCGGCGATTGACAAGGCCTTCGCCTCGGCGGCCGACCTGCGCACGATCCTGCTCACCCCCGAGCTGAACGCGCTCGTCGACGCGATGGCAAGCGGCGAGGCGTCGACTGCGGCGCCGGACGTGCTCACCGCCCTCAACGGCGTCCTCGCGGGCCAGAGTAAGCCGCTGCAGCAGGTGGCGGACGACGCGATGGCGGTGCTGCGCGACCTGCTCGCCGCGTCGCACGAGTCGGCCGGCGAGGAGCGGACGCAGGCCGTCGTCGGCACCCTCAAGCGCCTCGTGAAGGTGGCGTGGTCGGCGCTGCAGCAGGTCGACGTCGCCGTGGACGGCGCGCCCATCGGAGGATCGTACGACCTCTCGCAGCTCAAGGCGGTGGCCGAGGCGGCCAAGGCGGACCTCGAGGCCGGAAGCGCGTTCGCCTGGACCGTGCGCGCGGCCGACGCCGACCTGGTCGGCACGTACACGCGCTCGTCCGTCTCGTACGTCGCCCACCCTCCCGCCTCGCTCGAGGCGGAGATCCCGCTCGGCGTCCTCTTCTCGACCGCCTTGCGGCTTGCACGCGAGACGGCGCTCGGCCAGATGGCGCTCGGCCGCCAGGGCGGCGCGGACGGCACGGCGGCGGGCTCGATGCGCGTCGGCTTCACCTCCTCCGCGTCGGGCATCGAGGGCAAGGCGCAGGCGGACTGGCGCGCCGTTCTCCGCGCCGCCGTCGCTGTGGCGTCCCCTCGCGCGGCGCACGTGATCGACATGCTCCCCGGCTGGGTGACCAAGTGCGTGGCCGGCTGGGCGCAGGGGTCCTTCTGGGGCTCGGCCGACATTGAGGTGCAGGGGCGCAAGCTGCTCGCCCTTGAGAGGGAGGCCTTCGACGCCCTGACCGCCGGGCAGTCCATGCTGGCGGAGCACACTGCGGCGGACGGCTCGTTCCACTGGTAGAGAGGCTGCGGGCGCGGCACTGTGGCGCCCACCCTCCTTCACCCTTGCTCGCGTGGAGGCCCCCCTCGCTCTTGCGTCTTGGAGGCGGAGGGGCGAGCGGACACGCAGCAGGGCGTGTGAGAGATCCGCTCTCAGTCTCGCTCCCCCCCACCATGCACACGATACAACGGGGGGCAAGATATGAACATGAACACCATGGAGTTGGAGTGCAGTTGGCGACGGTATATCATTTCCCACTATGCCACGTCGCCCATCTCTGTGCATGATGGGCGACGTGGCATAGTGGGAAATTGATATACCGTCGCCAACACTCTGTGCATGCGCATGGCGAGAAGTTTTGTCTACTACTGAGTAACTGTCTCTTGAATAATTTTACGAAATGTTGTATATGCAGCTCAAAAGCTTGAAAATAGAATTCTACATTCATGCAACGTCCACAGCATCGTTTGGGGGCTCTCTTCGGCGGCCAGCCTCCTCGATCCGCCTGTTGGCAAACTCGGCGACGAGCGGCCCTGTTCCGGCGGCGGCGAGCAGCGGCAGCACGATGTCGTAGGCGCGCGTGAGCTCAAAGAGCAGCAGGGATGCGGTGAGAGGCGCGCGAAAGACGGCCGAGAGCGTCGCCGCCGCGCCGATGGTGGCGTACGCGGGCGCGTCGGCGATGGTCAACTGCGGGATCACGCCCCAGCTGCCGACGGGGATCCCGACCGAGCTCTGGTACGACGCGATGGCGTCGGCGAGCAGGGAGAGCCCGCCGCCCGCGGCGGACTGGTACGCGAGCCCGAGCACAGCACCGAAGAACAGGGACCTGCCCGCGCGCAACCATGCAAGGCGGTGAGTGCCGACGTGTTGGGAGAGGGGCGCCAACGCGAAGGGGAAAGGGGAGGGAGGGGGTGGCGCACGGCGCAAAAGCGCCGCCGATGAGGCCCGCCCCGAGGCAGAAGGCCGTCGCGAGCAGCTTCGCGCCGAGCAGCAGAAGCAGGTTCGCCTCGAGGCTCTGGCCGGACGCGAAGGCGAGCCCTCCCCGCAGCGACTCGAGCAGCGGCGCGCTGTCGGCAGGCAGCTCGAGGATGCCGGCAGCGGCGGCGGCGTCGACCGCACCGGCCGGCAAGGCGACGTCCGCCGCCTGCTGCGCGGCGGTGACGGCGGTCTCGCCCGTCGCGAGGATGGCGTCGAGGGTCGAGTACCCAAAGAAGAGGATCTGCGGGAAGGCGATGCCGAGCAGGCCGCACGCGGCTCCGCCCAGCGCCGGACGGAGGAAGAGCGGCACGGCGGAGAGGGGCCCTGCGGCCGCTGCGGCGGACTCTGGCTGGAAGAGAGCGCGGGCGCGCGACGTGGCCTGCTCGAAGACCACCGCGACGCCGCCCGAGAGCGCCCCCAACCCGACGTACAGCGGCAGCTCGACGATCGAGCTCTGCACGGTGAAGACACCCGGCCGCAGCGCCAGCTCCGAGCCGAGCAGCTCCTGCGCGGCGAGGGCAGACGCGACGGCCGCGAGCACGGTCGCGACGATGGCGGTGTTCGACTTGACGTCCAGCTCCGCCGCGTCCCGCCTCAGCCGCAGCCGCGTCGCCGCGTCCGGCGGTAGCTTGCCGCCCTGCCGCTGCTCGCGCCGCTGCTCGCGCCGCTGCCGACCGCTGCTCCGCTCGCCGGCGGGGCCCAGCTCGACCTCCTCGCTCGTGACGGCGGCGCGCACTTGGGCCGGGACAACCTCGAGAGCGAAGAAGACGCCGGCGATCGGGGCGTTGAAGCCGGCGGCGACGCCTGCCGCGGCGCCGGCAGAGAGGAGCTGCCGGCGCGCGCGCAGCGCGGCGGGGCTCGTCGCCAGCTCGCTCGAGATTGTGCCTACGGCCGCGGTACAGCGGCGTGAGGCGGCGCCCTCGCCTCCGCCGCTCGCCCCTCGAGCTGGCGCGGCTGGTGCACCGTTCTCGAGCCGGTACGTCCCGGTCGCGAACCCACTCACCAGCCGGGAGATGAAGACGCCGAGCTCGACCGACGGGCCCTCCGGACCGAGCGCGTTGCCTGTGCCAAGCGTCGCGACCGCCGAGGCGCCGCGAACCAGTGACGCCGCCGGCCGCACTGCCACCGACTGCTCCACCTCTGCCACATGCTCTGGCAGGCCGGGGCCCATCCCGCGCGGAGAGAGGGCGCGAAGTGCGGAGACAGCGAGCCCGCCCGCGGCAGGAACCAGGACGTACAGGCCGCCGATGTTGCGCTCATCCCACGGCATCACCACAGAGTCTCCGTCGTACACGGCCGCAGCGGTTGCCGCGATGGATGCCTTGAAGAGGGCAACCGCACAGCCAGTGATGGTCCCAATCACCACGGCGGCAGCAAGCGCGCGGCCGCTCGCGACAAGGCCCTCGTCCTCTTCAGCCTCCCGCCGGTCAGTCAGGTATTCCCACGTGCCAAACCTCGCAACAGGATCCTCCTCCTCCTCCTCTTGCAGGCGCGCCCATGGGAGCAGAGGCGAGCGTAGGCCAGGCTGCGACAGCGCAACGCTCGGCCGATGGTGGATTGGGCTAAAGGCGGTGATCAACATCATCGTCGCCGTCGCTAGCGGTAACAGCATGGTTGAGTCCTGTCTGCTATTGCCGCAGTCGTTCAGCTGCTCCTGTGCCAGGGAGCCGCACCCGAGGTACAGCGGAGTCGGCCTGGTTGGGCGGAATTGAAGAAATCGTCTTGCAGCCCTTGGGTTGTTCCGTCCTCCCATCCCTCCCTTGGTTGTCTGTTTTCTTTCTTTCTTTTTTGTCTGTTTTCTTTCTTTCTTTCATTATAGCTCCGAGTAGAGGGGGCGGTCTGCTGCTAGGGGAAACCCGGAGCGCGGAGCCAACCCTCGGAGATCCGTGTTTACTTTACGGCCCTTTCCCTGCGAACGCGCACCCCCAGGGCTAGGGCTCTCTTGCCCGCAACCCGATGCCAATCATCCGGCCCGCTGGGTGCGCTTCTCAGCTCCCTGGCCCTGGATGTGCGGTTGATGTTAGATGACTGCACTCCAAGTGCTCCAAGCACCCCGCAGTCTTCCTACCTTAAAACCCCTGTGTGGTGGCGGCGTGCCGTCCTCCCCTCCCTCCCTTTGGGTTGTCTGTTTTTTCTCTAGTTTTTTTAGAGGTTCTCAAGAAAATAAAACGGTAAACGCGCGCGTCGTCCCGCGGCGTCCCCCCGCGCAACTGTCTCTTTTTCTTTTCAGCCACGTGCCCACACTGCTTGCGTGTTGCTCTGAGGGAGGGTGTAGAGGATGTAGAGTGTAGAGCAGGAAAAGAAACCACCACCACATGTGTCGAGCAGGAAAAGAAACCAGTCCCGCATCAGGAGGCTTCCCTGAGCGTCACAGCTCGGTGATTGATCGCGCCGGCCGGACACCACTGAGTGAGACGTCCGTTCCGGGCATTTGAACGCGACCTTCGGGGGCTCTATGGCTCAGACTGGACTCCTCTTGGTCCCTTCTGATGCCCTAGGCCACACCTGGGCCTTACCTGGGTTCTAAGGGCCGGCCAGGGTTTGCCTCCCTAAAGGGGCCCGGAGGACCTTAAGAAAGTGAGCGCGAGGCCGTCCCGTTTTGATCTCTCGGTAAGTGGGCGCCCGCCCGCCGCCTCTGAGGGGGCCGGGCCCCCTAGTCTGAAAACCAAAACAAGCTCGAAAACAGCCAAAATCAGCCTGCGAGAGAGGCACTGCCTGCGCGCCGCTGACCTCATGTCGGGGGATGTGTGCCGACACCAATACTGATCTAAAACCTGGAAACCCTTGTTCAAAGCCGACCCTAAGCGCCATCCTTCCTGCTCTCACCTGATGCTGCTTGTGCGTCCCCGCGCCGCCTCCTTGGCCCCCTTGGGCGTATTTTCTACTCCCAGTGGGGTCCCGTGGGCCCCCGGGCCCCTCTTGTTTTCTGTTTTCTTTTTTGTGTCGTGCGAGGGAGTTTTGTTGTAAAATTCTGTTTTTCAAAACGCCCGCCCGGCCCCCCACTCACCGAGAGAAGGGACGGCCCGAGGCAGAAGGGCAGGGACATAAACTGACACAAAGGCGTTGACCGACAGCGGTCGGATTATCTGCTCGCCAGCATGGGGCAAAACGTCGCCACCTCGTTGTCTGGTATCTGGAAGGGTTTGTGATTTGCACATATGTGTGGCTGCAGCCTAAAGTCAGGTGCCAGGGCAACGGGCACGCCAACAAGATTCCGCCATCTGCGGCTGTCTGCTGCTTTATGGGCTAGCGATTGCGTGCCGTCCTCTATCTCGGACGCAACCTCGGTGAAGGAGGAGAAGTTGGAGCCGAGGATGAGGCGTGTCTTGCCGAGGTTCAGCAGGTCGATGTACGCGCGACGGACGGCCGATTCGTCGCGGGAGTCGCAACGTCTTGTCGTGAGGCGTCGGCGCTGATCAAGCGGTGTGTTGCAGTCCAACTGCCACTGACCGTTCGTCACAATGCGGCCCGGCAAGGCCGCCATCAGCCCCCGGTACGCCTCCTCGCTATCCGCGGCGAGGTAAAAGGTTGTGCTGTTGTCCAAGGCCGCGAGCGCCTTTGCCTTGGTGGCAAAGGCCGTCCAGTGGGAAGACTTCCTCGCCTTTTGGAGGTTCGCGATGGCGGTGGGGCCATACTCGAGGTTCGCGGCTTTCGCCGCAGACACGCTCGTGGACGTTAATGGCCTCTCCTGCGAAAAGGGGAAGACGCTCCGCACGTGCATGCCGACCATCGATGATGTGGCGATGACCTGCTTGGCCACGAAAGGGAGCGGAGACAGCTGGCGCAGGTGGTGGCGAGCGTGCTTCCAGTTTCCAAACGGATGGTTCATGAGGAAGGCACTAATGAAGTGCACGACGCGCTTGTCGTCGTCAAAGGCTGTGGTCATGTTGGCGAGCTGCTGCTGCGTCTTACCGCTCGCCGCTTCCATCACATAGTCCACCTGTAGCGCTGCGCTGAGGTCCACCTCTGGATGCACCGGGCGGTCTCGCAGGGCGAATGGGAAGGGTTTCTGACACAGGTTGCGCAAGCTAATGTTGCAATGCGCGTCCGGTATCCACTCAACAATGAGCGGACGTCCCACGTGAGCCGCCACCGACATGGCGGAGGCTAGGGCTCGTAGCCGGTTGCCCAGCCCGTTCCTTGGCTGAACCACAAGGGGCGCCCTTGCGAGTGACGGGCCGCCCTCTCGCAGCGGCGATGCGTCGGCCGACGGTGGCCGGTCTATACTTGTCCGCTTGCTCCTGTGCGTTTGAGCTGGCAACGACGCCTCCCCGCAGGCCGCACGCTCCGTGCCTCGGGCCTCCACCTCATCCGCCCCGCTCGCCATCCGTGCCAAGCGTTGGTCGACATCCAACGCGGCACGCTCCGTGATGCGCTCAAACCAGTCCCGGGCGGCACGGCTGCGCTCGTCCACCCACGTCGCATTGGCTCCTTGCCGTCGCAT